GGACACACGTCAGAATTGCAAACACTTCGGCCTGGAACACTGAAGCGTATTTGCCAAGAGGTACTGAGATTCCTTTCCCTGTTCCTCCTTCATATACTCCTGCACCAGACCCGCCACCAAACCTTGAGCCATCCGTGAACCAGGTTGATTCGTTGGCAGGAAGCAAGCCTGGTGTATTGCCAGTCCATTCCTCTCTTGTAGGAAAAATGACATGCGGAGCTTTATTGAAATTCAGAACTGGCAGAGTGCTGTCCCTTACCATCAGCAGACTGGGACAGCTCTCTTCGGCCTTGTTCCATATTAGGGAGTGTCCATAGTCTGCCTTTTCGATCCATTGGTTTGTACCTTTGAGTCTGTAGGCAGTGCGCATGGCTTCGTGCTCTACAATCAGATGTAAAGGGGGCAGACCTAGTATAGGACCTCAAGGGCCCTAGTAGGCGCTGTCCTCATAGCACCTGTCATTCCTAAGCAAGCCAGTCGCTGAACTCTATCCAGTTCATGTCTGGTTTTGCTCTTTTTAGTACTGGTCCACCATACGATGGACCCGTACGTTAGTGTTGGGCGAATAATTGCCGTGTATATCCAGTGAAGGGTCTTAGGTGATAGGCCCCACGTTTTCCCAAAGGCTCTTCTGCATGCCCAGTAGCAGCATATAGCCTTCTTGGTGCGATTACCTATATGCTCATTCCAGGTCAACTTGGAGTCGATTGTGACTCCAAGATATTTGGTTGAGCCTTTGTATTGAAGACACCTTCCTGAGAGAAAAACCTCTGGAAGTGTCCCTATTTTACGTTTCTTGGTGAATAACACCAGATCCGCTTTTTCAGGATTCACTCTAAGCCCACCGGCGGAGCACCACTGTTCCACTTTCCTGAGAGCTCCCATCATGGAGTTCCCTAGGTGATTCACCGGTTGGCCTTGAACCATAATAACTAAGTCATCTGCATATGCTTGCGCATATATCCCTGACTCATTGAGTGTTGTGAGGAGCTCATTGACCACCAGGCACCATAGGAGCGGTGATAACACTCCACCTTGAGGACACCCTCTCGATACTCTGGCGGTCACAGAACTCCCACTTAGTTCTGCTCTTACTACTCGCTGTGACAGCATGGCCCGAATCCACCTAATCAAAGTTGGGTTAGTTCCATGCCTCTCCGCAGCGGAGCAGATGGACTCAAATGATGTATTATCAAATGCCCCTTCTATGTCTAAGAAGACCCCCATGGCAGATCGTCCACAAGCTAGCACTCTCTCCACCCTTCGAATTAGATGATGGAGAGCTGCGTCTGTGGACTTTCCAGTTTGGTAGGCAAATTGCTGCTCGTGCAGTGGATTCGTTTGCAACGGCTCTTCTCTGATGTGTCGATCTATCAGCCTTTCCAACGTCTTCATGAGAAAGGACGTCAGACTGATAGGTCGATACGCTTTGGCCTGGGAATAATCTATTTTCCCTGGTTTTGGGATGAAAACGATCCTGACCGATCTCCATTCCACTGGTATGTAGCCCAGAGCCAGACAGGATCGTAGTATCTTCATAAGCAGGTGTATGATGGCATCCAGTCCTTCTTGGAGGAGGGCCGGAAATATACCATCCACACCCGGCGATTTGAATGGTGCGAAAGACTTTATGGCCCATCTTACTTTCTCATATGTAACCACCCTTGAGGCCGTTTTGTAATCCATGTGAGTTCTCCTCACTGGATTCGTCCTCATAGGTGGTTCATTGGTAAATTCTGAGTCGGGGAAGTGTGTGGATATTAGGTGTTGTAATGTCTCTTCCGCCGATGTAGTTTTACTTCCATTGGGCAAGGACATCACACCTACACCTTCCCCCCTTTCTTTCGATAAAACTTTACAAAGTCTTGCTGCTGAGGGTATTGTATTTATATCCTCGCAGTAGGCACGCCAACTGTCCCTTTGTGATTGTCTGATGACTTTCTTGTACGTTTTTTTGGGCCGACTTATATTCTTCCCAATGTTCTGGTACTCCAGTACGCTTCGCCTTGTTCAGAAGCTTTCTTGTAAGCCTACGATGGTTTTCTATTTCTGAATTCCACCATGGCGTTTTCGCATTGTCCGACCTCTCTTTGAGGGGGCAGCTATTTTCATACGATGAAGTGATTGCCTCATTTAGATATGTCACTGCCATATCTATTTCGGCTTCGCTTCCGTACTTTGATGGTAGTCCCACTAGTCTTCCTCTCAGTTCCTCTCGAAAGAGGTCCCATTTGGTAGTCCGTGGGTTCCTATATTTTTTCTTTTCAGGAGGGCTTATCCCACCTAACTTGAACAGAATGTGTCGATGATCCGACAGAGAATCATCTTGTGACACATTCCATGAATGAACTTCGGTCAGCATATCTCGAGTGCATAATGTCAAATCTATGCAGGATTGCCGCCTTGGCGTAAAGAACGTTGGTGTTGAACCCTCGTTCACAATTTCCAGATGACTGGTGCTAAGGAATTCGAGAAGAGCGTTTCCCCTGGAATTTGTGTCCCGACTGCCCCATAATACATGATGAGCATTCGAGTCACATCCCATAATCAGGCTCATCCCAGACTCCTCGCAATATCGCATTAGCGATTCAACCTCCTGGGGTGGGGCATTTAATTCGTACGGAAAGTATGCAGAGCAAACTATCACCTCCCGATTACGATTATTTTCAGACGTGAGGATCCTCACCGCCACCAGGTCCCTGGTACAGAATCCTGGGACAGGGAAGACCCTCATGCCTTTTGTATACACGCACGCACGGGGGGAATCGACGGAGGTGCAGTAGTGAGCCGTTCCTCCGCCCATTCCCATCCCCCTTATTTTGCCTTGATATACCCAAGGCTCCTGTATCAGTAGGATATTTATATCCCACTCCAGGATCCTTCGGCATAGCAAGGCCGTTGGGGCTTTCCCGTGCTGAAGGTTGATCTGTAAAAATTTTACAGCCATTGCTTAGGCCTAATCTGATTGAGGTCCCTTTTCAGGTTCCTCAATCAAGACGTCAAGGTCCATCAGCTGCTCCTCGCTCATCACTGATGAGGTGGGAGATCGGTTAGAGGTCCTCTGAGGAGTTCCTCCAACCGAGTTTGCGGAGGTCCCTTCAGAGGTTCCTCCGCTGGTTGTAGGTGTCGGGGAATCGACTTCGGTTCCTCTGTTACTCGAAGCCGAGACTGTCGCCTCCACCGCGTCGATCTCCATCCCGGAGGCACCTTTAAGGGTTCCTTCAGTCTGGAGGGTCGACACGGCAGGTCCGGCCAGCCCGGATCGAGTCCCTGAGGTCCCAGGTTCGGTCCCCCTCGATACCCTACTTAATAATAATAATAATAATAATAATAATGTCTTTATTGGACAAAAAGATTTGCAACATAGTAAATAGAAAAAAAAATTATAATGTCCCAGGCGAGGTTCAGGTACTCCCCCAAGGGGGAGCCCTGCTCTACCACCACTTTTTGCCGAGGGCCCTTCGAGAATTGTCACAGAGGCGTGCGACGCGCTATAGTAGGGCCGGAAGTTCATTTGGCTGAGAAGCCTCATGGACTGTTCGTCCAGCCCCACCACCAGTCGCAGCCCCTGTTTCTCTTCTTTCCTCTCCCAGAATTTCCATGAAGATCCTGAGAGGCCTGGATTCTGCCTTTCCAGTCTTCTGACGATATCTTCGTTCGGCAGAAACCTCTTCCCCGGAATCCATAGCATGGCTCGGCGTAGCCTTAGCCTTGCTGGATCCATCAGTACCAGAGTGGTGTCTTTCCAAGGAGTTATCTTTCCCAACTCCTTGGTAAGCCACTCCTTAGAGTATTCGTTGGCAGCTGAGTTAGAATCATTCAATTCATCCAGAAGGAAATCCTCTTAGTTAATTGTTTCTTGTTTCTCAGAAATGATGGCCTAATCAATTTCAAGATATTTCTTCACATCCCTTGTCAGCATGCCCTTATCCACCATGATTCCATCATTAGGTTCAGACTTCCCAATAACATTTTCTTTATTAAAAAATGCTTTATCAGTAGCTCAACCTCCATATCCTTAAATGCCAACAGTAATCAGTCCTAGTGGAGTGATATTGCAATAAGAATTTGACTGAGTTTCTGTGATGTGTCTGTACACCAGGAGCACTGAGGAACATAACATATCTTTCTAGATTTCTGTTTTCAGTGTTTTGTAACTTGCTGCATGTTTTGGGAAAACAGTAAACTATCTCGTGAATACAAAAACATATTGGAAAACATCAAAATTCACTGGATTGCACAATGCTAAATTTGTTTGTTTTGTTTATCACCTCCGCCATTTTCATTTTGCCATTCGACAAAAGACGATGGGGAAACAGTGACGTCAGGCCAGGTGAATATGAGGCAACCTTATAGAGTTAAAGAGTTAAATAGCCTTGATAAAAGTGAACCTCATATCGTATACGTACGTATAGGTACTGCCAGCCATATTCGTACGTAAACGTGCGGATAGGCATTGGCATATTATACGTACGCATACGTACATATAGGTACGTCGAAACCATGTCGAAACCTATTCGAACGTAAACGTGCGAATAGGATTTTCGCATTTTATTCGTACGTAAACTTACTAATAGATTCAGCCACAAATGACTATCCATAAGGAAAAGTTTTGAAACGATCAGACACATACAAACATATGAAACAAATGAATATCCATAAGGATTTAGTGGCATGATACGCATGCGCCATGCGCTATTATAGTAGTCATCAAAGACATGCGTTTCGGTGGATAATGACGTTTACTAGCCTTTCAATCAAAGCAGTACCTATGTGTCTGATCTGATCTCACTTTTCCTTATGGATAGTCATTTGTCTTCAAAAATCGGCTTCATGTTTCGCTATGGAAACAGATAGAGATTTATTAATACGTATATGATTGGCATATAATACGTACGCATACGTACATATAGGTACTTCGGAACCACTATGTTCGAAACCTGGCGTTTTTCAACAACTAGTCGTTGGCAACACTGGAGTCTCTTCTAGTCTTCTGACGTTCTGAGTTTCAGTACTCTGACATTTCGATAAACAATATTCATCGTGGTGTCACGTGATGTGTGGTGTTTTGAATTTTAATTTGGTTAAAATAATAATATGAATCTTTCTTAATTTATATTTTGAAATTACAAAATGGTTGTGTGCCAGGCTGAACATGTTATTCAAGCTGATGTGATTTTCCTTATCGAAGGAACTGCAGTGAATGGAGCTTACCTCAATGATATAAAAACAAGTTATATCATTCCATCTTTGGAGTATGTACTATTCCTTCTACTTTATCATTGTTTGAAATTATTATTTAGCATGTCAAAAACTGTGCCAAAAGTATTCCTCTCTGTCCTTATTGGCTTTATTTGATTGAAGTGGTATTACCAATTCACATTAGTTAAGGGTGCCGACCTGCCACCCAGTATACCTCGCAACATCGTGCTCGCAGTAGACTGCCGACCATCAGTAATCAATCAAACTATTTTCAAGAAATTATCAGAAGAACAAACATTTGAAAAAAATCTCAAAGTAAAGATGAAAGGCGGATTTAGCAGGCCCACAAACACAATTTATTTTATAACTGTAATTTCAATGCATTATAAACTTTGATCATACAGGAATAAAAGTTAAACAGTGCTCATCGTCTGCTAAATATCCAAAAATCTAGTGAGCTGAAGTTCCAGCACACTAGATTTTTTCTCCATAATCAGCAGACAAATACTGACACCAAACACACTAACCTATTGGTGGAACAAAAATCTGATCAAAAAAAATCTTGATTAGACAAAAAACTAAATAAAAAATGAAAGTGATGTATGCTCAACCCAGACCAACCCATTACTAAACAAAAATCTGATAAATTGATTGGTGATTGTATTTTTAGATTCTCCCTGAAGAGCTGATTTCATCAAGGCATCACACTTGGGGTCTAGTGGAAATGATTATAGAGATATAGGGTGTTCAAAATCGATATTTTTCAACTTAAGGATTTTTCTGTGACAAAACTATTCATTAGCTTTCTCTCCTTGTTTCTATAAACCAAAAATGTGAATATTATTTCAATATACTTGTAATCAGGAAAAATCAGATGATTTGCCCCAAAAAGTCACTGTCTTTAAAAATGTTTCTATCAGAGAGCTTGAAAGAAAAATTCAATACTTTGTCAGTGACAATTTGTATTGAAAAAGGTTTAGAGAAGAGAAATGAAGGTATATAGAAATAATGTCAACACAGTTCCACTCTAGCCTTCAAAGAGTGAACATCAAATTGTAAGCAGCAGTAGATATTATAGTTCAGTCCAACTGCAATAAGTATGGCTTCTGAAAGTGACGGCAATTATAGCGAAATGGAGATATGTGATGATGGACAGTGGAAAAAAGTAAGACACAAAAGGAGTTTGAAAAGTAAGCAAGAAAGCACCACAAAAAAACCAAAAGCGTTAACTCAAGAGGAGATCAATAACATAATATTAGGCTCAACTTCCCATGCTATAACAGAGGCAAGAAATCAACACACAGATAAAGATCAGACCACAGCAATTAGTGAAACAGCAAAAAACAACAATCCCTTATCTACAGCACTCCAACAAAAAACCATCAATCCCACAAAAAACCAACAACCAACTACTCAACGATATCCACACAAAAACTACAACCATCTATTCCACCTTAATACAGATACAGGGTGGACCAGAATCGCATTCTGTCAACTATGGGAAAATTTATGCCCAGAAAAGGAAGATGAGATACTGAAAACAAAAACTGGAATACTTCTTAAAACCAATCAAGAAAAAGGAAAAATCATCGAAATTCTACAAAGGATGGTAGCATTCAAGAAAATCAGCAACTATAAAGAAATAGCAGCGAATACCAAAACACCAACATCATCCCCCTCAACAAGTTACTCAGTCGTCATTGGAGCAGTGGAATTAGAAATTGCAGATAAACAAATCAGTGACCAACTCAATAAAATAGGTCTACAACATCGATTCTGCAAAAGAATAATATCTCAGAAAACAAATCAGCCCTCAACACTAATTAGGGTAATCAGTAGCTCATCAAGTACATTCGAAACTCTGCTGAAAAACGGTCTCTACTACAAATATCGGCACTACCCTGTATATCCCAGCAAACCTCCCAATCCCATACCACAACCATGCAGCAAGTGCCACTCATTCGAACACTCATCCGAAAAATGTAACACTCCAGTGAAATGTACCAAATGTATGGGTCCACATCATTTCTCCCAATGCACATCCCTCCTACCTCCCAAATGTTCAGCATGTGGTAGTGAAGAACACCAGGCTTGGTCTCATAAATGTCCCAAAAGACCCACAGAACCAGTACCAGGTATACCCAATGTCCAAATAAAAACGTTGAATAAAAAATCACACCAAATACCAGCAGAAAAAAGAAAATCAAGAGTACACAGCCCAGTAACAATCCATGATCTAATCATCAACACATATGTCAACGAACTCAACCATCGGGAAAACCAAAACAGAGAGGAATTAATACAAAAGCTCAGGAAAAGATTTCAAAATGATTTCAACATGGACTCTACAGCGGTATTTTCGGGCAACAGAGTATATATTCTCATTTTTGACTTGGAAAATGAAGAGCAAATATCACCCACTGAACCAATCAACAGCGCTTATAATACCCAGCATGTCAGTACAAAATAAATGTAACCTTCTATACTGCAACATAAACAGCTATTCTTCAAGAAAACTGGTAATCAACAATCTCATAGAAGAGTGTGTTATAGATTGCACAATGTTTGTAGAAAGCAAAACAAACACAGAAACAAATACAAAATACAAAAATTGGGACGTAATACAGTTCAATGGCAATAAAATCCATAATAAAGCAAGAGGTGGATCTCTAATCCATTCTCATCCAAGACTACAAATGGGAAAAGCTAATCCACCAGCCATCAATAATCCACTCAACGAATGTTTACATTTCACTATTCCATTTGATGATGACAAACTCCATATATTTCTGGTTTACATCCATCCCAGTGCAAGAATAGAAGAAACAATATTCACCAAGGCAAATTGTTTCAAATACTCCTTAATACTAGGGGACTTTAACATAAATAATCGATATAAAAAAAGGCAGCTTTCTAATTTTCTCAATAATTCCACTTTTCGAAAACAGCAAACAGCCCCAACATTCATTATGCCAAACAATAATGATACAACACCAGACATCATACTATATTCCGAAAATATCAAAGACAATATTGAATCCGTTGTAGAGACCCCTGACCTGGGATCTGACCATCTAGTGTTCATAATTACTTTAGACTTGCAAACAAAACCACAATATTATGAAATCCTACGCTACAATTTCAGAAAAACTAACATGGAAAAGGTAAACGAAAATATAATCACTTATTTGGAATCACATGAGAATGAGGACATCACTAGAGAACGGATTTCCAGATTTTCCCAAACTCTAACTTCGATAATACTTGAAAATACTCCAAAGGTCAAGCACACTTTCCAGGCATACGAATTACCACCTTACATTATAACCATGATCAAAAGGAAACGACAAATGTATAGAGACTACAAAGTTATCCAAGATCCCAACCTAAAAAAAGAATTGAACAAATATAATAAAAATATACAACAACTTATACAACAATACAAAACCCATAAATGGATAGAAGTTTGCGAATCCATCAACGAAAAGAAAGGAAAAACCTACTGGCAGGACATCAAAAAATTATCCAAGTATAAATCTAAGAATAACATAGGGACAACATTATCAAATAATGGAAGGCAATATGAAACACCCTCAGAGAAAGCAAATATATTTGCACAACATTTTGAAGATGCATTCAAAGAAACTATAAATGGAAATTTTGACAGAAATCATTATGATACTGTAACAGAGTGGTACAACAACTATTTCAACGCACAAACCATCGATGAAACTCAAACAATTGAGGAAGACGAATATGACGAAATCGTTTATTCAGGAAAGAGCACATCACCTGGATATGACTACGTAACTAAAGATATATTGAGAAAATTGGATAGAAGAGTGCATTTATACATAATAAAAATCTATACATTTTGCATTAACAAACAGTTTGTACCTAGCGAATGGAAAATAGGAACAATAATAACCATACCCAAACCAAACACAGACCACTCTCAAACTGCCAACTATCGACCAATTACGCTTCTGCCGGTCCTTGGTAAAAATTTTGAAAAATTAATCAAGAACAGAATCCAAAATACAGTAGGAAATAGAATCCCAGGATACCAATTTGGATTTAAACAATCACATTCCACTCTCCACCCACTATGCATAGTTGCAAACAATGTAGAAACCAATAAGCTAAACAGGAGAAAAACTGCAGCAGTATTCCTGGATATCAATAAAGCATTTGATAGTGTTTGGCACAAAGGTCTTCTATTCAAGTTGCATACTCTGGGCTGTCCGAATTACCTGCTATACATCATCAAAAATTATTTACTTAATCGTAAACTCAAAGTGAAAATTCAGAACAGCTACTCCAACGAATTCTCACCAAAACAAGGTCTTCCGCAAGGTTCGCCATTATCTCCAGTCCTGTACAACATCTACTGCTCAGACATTTATCACCATGCCCATCAAGATCCGGAATACTTTAGTCACACAGCATACATACTACAATTTGCAGATGATACAGCTCTGATAACACATGACAAAACTACAGAACAAGCAGTGGCCAATCTCCAAAATTTAATGAACATAACCAACGACTGGTTTAATAAATGGCGTCTCTTACCCAATCCGAATAAATCCCAATTAATTCTGTTTAACCATCGCCTCAAAAATACTTCGCCAACCATAGTCCTAAACCAACAAACCCTTTATCCAAAAGACAATGTAAAATACCTGGGAATCACTTTTGACACCAACATGAACTTCAACGCACACACCAACTCGAAGAAGAAGAGCATGATATCCAGAGCGAAACACTTCAGCTGCTTGATCTATCAAGGCAGAGGCATCGATTCCAAAACAGCTGAACGAATCTACAAGACCATATGTCGACCCATGATAGAATATGGAAGCATCATATTCCTGAACTGCAAACAACAGGCAATCAATAAATTGAAAGTAGCAGAAACAACAGCTATGAGAAAAATATCTCACCTACGCCATCCCCGTAATTCCCTCCACAACCCCCCGAACCAATTACTATACCAGACCTTGAACATTCCTCCAATAGAAGAAAGAATTCTGGGCCTAGCACAAAGATTCTGCAAGAAAGAAGAGAACTTGGAAATAGTGAGAAGATTCTGTTGCACAAGGGATCCCAACATTCGAAATTCTTATAAATACCCAGAAGAAACCACCCTGGAAAAAATGGAACGCCTTTCCACTGCTAACCACTGAGTTCTCTCATAATTTCTATATACACAATTTGTTTATTTTTTTTTAAGGATCTACTTATTCTAATGTCCTTTTTTTTTTTTTTTTTTTTTTTGTACATTTGTCATACTTATGATAGCCACATAAAATGATGTATGTATTGTTAATCGAAGCCATGGGTAGAAGGACCTCGGTCAATAACCCTTTGGATCATGTTTGGTTCAATAAAGTACTATTATTATTATTATTATTAATGTCAAATTTTCACTTATCTTTGGACGTTTTAAAAACGAATCTGCTCCCGTCTTTAACATTAAAAATGGATATTTGTATAGCAAATTCTTATTCCTCTTGACACTTCTCAGTTCTCAGTGACAATGTTTTAGGTTGTTTTTCAAAGCCCTATAGAAACGTTGCGAATGAAGTTTTCGATTCGCAGTTTCCGCTATAAATTAACAAAGTCTGTATATTATTCTGTTCTATGGTGAAAATTCAGGAATTTTCAATTTGCCAAAAGTGATGACGTATTTTGAAAACCAATAAATATCTCGAGATTTTCAAATGGAACACCCTATATTCCATTCCAAATTTGTATAGAGCTCAGGAAGACGAGTTCAATGATATATCATAACATGTGTCTGATATCACCCGTTTCGGACTTATACACGATCTTCTTCAATAAATTGCCCAATTTCAAAGCCCTATAGAAACGTTGTGAATGAAGTTTTCGATTCGCAGTTCCCGCTATAAATTAACAAATTTTGTATGTTTTCTTGATACATGGTAAGAGTTTATGAATTTCGCATTGGCCAAAAGTGATGATGTATTTTGAAAAACGAAAATTTTTCACAAATTTTCGAATGAAACTACTCCCTATTTCATTCCATCTTTGGATGAAGCTCAGAATGACGAGTTCAATGATATATTATAATATGGGTGAAAAAATAATCAAATTTCAATGGCAAAATCCTGACTGTTATCTTCATATTAGATAAAAATTTTGTAATTTCTGTGAAACAATTCGTAATAAAGAGTTTTGAAAACAACGAATATTATAAAAATTTTTATGTAATGTTATACTATTATTTCACTGGAAAACCTTTTGGAAATGATTGAGCACAGGTTATCACAAATAAATTTCACCTACATTTGACTGTATACGAGACCAATGCGGGAATATTCAATTAATAAAATGTATTTGAACATTTTCTTTGATTGTCTGCCTTATCAATTCGGATGCATTCATTGCAATAAATGTCATTTCTTCATAAAAATCGTATATCTCTCATACTACTTTGTATATTCAATTGAATACTATATCTGATTGTTACTGTTGTTATGTTTACTCGTTTTCTCAGTTACTGTTACTTTTTTTGTTTGACTATTCTTTAAAGAAGATCGTGTATAAGTCCGAAACGGGTGATCTCAGACCCATGTTTTCAAAATACGTCATCACTTCTGGCATATTCAAATTTCCAAAATTTTCACCATAGATCAAAATAATATACAGACTTTGTTAATTTATAGCAAAAGTTGCGAATCGAAAACTTCATTCACAACGTTTCTATAGGGCTTTGAAATTAGACAATTTATTGAAGACGATAATGTATAAATCCGAAACGGGTGATCTCAGACTCATGTTATTATATATCATTGAACTCGTCTTTTGAAGTACTATCTAAAAATATGATAAAATATAGGGTGTTCCATTTGCAAAACGTATTTGTGATATGTCACAGACATATGGATCATCCTGTATAAATGACAGTATCTGAAAATTAAATGCCATAAGAAGTTATAAAATTTTTATCCTGAACTTTTTTCTGTATACATAATAGTTTACCAGATAAGGGGGTGGCCCAAGTTATGTGGGATACCCTGTACATAGAAGCTCATTTTGGTAACTTAATGTAGAGGATTTTGAGGATGTCGTGTTTTCGAACATTCTTGATCTTGATTCAATCGAACATGATGACAGTGAATAGATAATTGATCATGGTTTGAGGTACTGTTTAAATTCAGTGTAACCTTGCTATGTTTTGATGAAAATTACACACCTGATTTCTCATATAGGTACTTACCTACAATATTATTTCGTAAAGTGAAACATTTATCTTAATATAAGTATTTTCATTTTCAGATACTTCAACCAGGGAAATATCGATGATACAAATTATATCTCTGAAAATGCAAACTCATTATATGGAATAGTTGTTTATCAAGCAGCCGATTGTTTGCCTCATCCCAGTACGGATACATTTGGGCCATTGTCTAGTCCTACTAAATTACTGAATGCGATAGATAAATTAGAGTAAGGCGATATAATTTTAGTTTTATGTTTAGTTTTGTTTTTTATTAGACCATGAGACCTTGACTTTGTGACAGAGGGAAATTTGATGGAATATTCCAGGAGGTGATAGCGATTTTCGAAGAAGGGTCTGTAATAATCGGAAAGACAAAACAAGGAATTGAAGTTTCAAAATCATTGCAAGACGATTTACTGATAATGTCACATTTTTTTATTCAATGTGGAAGATAGGGTATTTATACCTGCAATAGAACTGCTGTCAACCAATTTGAGTTTGAGAATTTTGCAGAACGACTAGGGCACGAATTTGGATTGGGAACCACAATCTAGTATAGCCTTAGCTTTGTGAAAATGTCCTGTTGTATCAGCGACTAAAATAATGGCTGTTGAGAGCAGCCCTGAGCTTTTCCCAGCATACATTTTGATATGGGCCATTGATGGTCTAATATAGTTTCCCCATACCTGACATCAGCTGCCCAGTAAATGGTCCCATATGCGGGACCGTATCTCAGTACACTGCCGGCGGCAGCTGGTCCCAGTGCTGGGTACCCAGCAATCATATTCACTTCCCAGCCAAAAGGCCAGAACCATATATTCTATACATTGAGTTTCCCATAGCAAGCCCAGCATATACATAAATGATGGGACTGTAATGGCCTATTATCGTATTATATCAAACAGACACATACTCGATTTCAAGGAAACAGTTTCATGAATGACACAATGATATCTTTTTAAGCTCTCTCTTCTTCTGTTGATAGAAACATTCGTATGAGTTGAAGATTCATATGTGTCCTTGAATTCGCCCATTGTCGAATTTTCCATTAAATTTCAGCAGATTTATATCAGGTAATTTGCCATTTTCAAATTGAATATTTGACGGTGGAAAGTGGAAGTGATCTGCAGTACTCGTTAACGAATCAAAAGTTTGAATTATATTTTTTAAATTAATCTCATCTTCCGCTGGAGTTGAAGCATGTATGGATGAAAACTCCTCTTGTTCTTCAAATTGATTTTCAACATCATCTTCCACACAAGAAACCTGTATCTCCAATTGAATAGCTTCGATTTCGAATTCCACGGATAAACCCTGAAGCCGGTCTTGGAATTCGCAGACGGTACGCTCATCAATTTGTTTCTCCGCTTGGAGATCATCTTGCAAAGCGGTCATGAATTTAATCAACACAGTCTGCTTTTGTTTCATAAAACCTCTCTTTATTTTCAAAACTGAAAGGTCCGTCATGCTGGGTGAACTCAAATCAGGATAGTAGGTATTAATCGGTATTTATTACAAGATGAACGATGAACTCGTCTTTGCGGTTATGTTAGGCCAAAATGAATAAATGAATGAATTGAATAAATCGAATTCGCGGAATCGAATGACAAGTACAAGCTATCTGGGAAATCGGGAAAGGAAGGGATAAAGGAACTCACTGACCCTGCACCTTACACCTGCTTGTTGATTGTGAAATCTCAAAACTCGCCGCCAATCGCCTCGTAGACTATCCCTTGTATCGGTTTGTTGATGTTTAGGTGAATCCTTCAAATAGTGATGCTACTCACATCCAAGATTCGGCTCGATGGACCATAAATAATTGTAATTTCCATAGATTGGACCAGTGGCGGATCTACCATGAAGCAAACGACGCACTCTGCGTTGGGCCCCCAGACCAAAAAAGGCCCCCAAATGACCGAATTCTAAAGGCATCGATGAAAATGAAAAAAAAAAAACATTAATATAAAAAAAATCGAAAATGAAATTATTTTTAAAAATTCCTATCACAAGTTGTGAAGCAGAGAGGTCATTTTCCAAACTTCCAATTATTTAAAATAAATACGGAAACTGTGATGGCGGAAAAAATACTCCAGTACTTAAGAATACAATAAGGCAATTTGCAAATGCTTTGGTACGCCGGCCAAATTTTTAATATACTAGTATTAAAACTGTGACCTGTGTTGTTCAAGAAACTTTAATGAATTTTGGTAATTTAGTATATTATCTTAGAACAACTTATTTTTTGTTTAAGTTCTGTGTAAGTAGAGTAGAATTTCGATCTCGTCGTATTTCATTGACTGTGAAATAATTTATTTTTTCTACATTCATGCAAAAAACAGAACTTTATTGAACTATATTTAGTGGAAAAAGAAGTTCTTTATTGCACTTAGTGCAATAAAGTTTTTATTGCACTCATCTGTCATTCTACTTCAACGTGCTGTCATCATGACAAACATTTTCTATAATGCAACTGTGGTTATAGAAACGTCAGTCAAAAATTAATTCTGACAATTAACAGAATTGTACCTAGTGCCGCACCTCAATAAATCATTTTTTGCTTTTTGCATGAACGTAGAAAAAATGTTGTATGCAACTCGTGCAAAAATTGTTTATTGCACTCGACGTGTTGTCCAACTCGGCCTAACGGCCTCGTCGGACAATTTCACGTCGAATGCAATAAACATTCACTTTTTGCACTTGTTGCATAAATAACTATTCAGTTCTTCAAGTATAATAATAGTTATTTGTTTTACTAGGCAGAAAAGTGGTAGATTGACTGCGGAGGCTGATAGTTCATTGCCGAGCGTAGCGAGGCGAGGAATTCAGCCAAGGCAGTCAATCTTGATTACTAATCTCATTAAAATTTCTTGGAATTTTGCATAGCAACAAACTTTTTCTGCAGAGGCAGTAAAAGTACACCTTTTCTGCCTGTTAAGCGACAGGAAAAAGCCAGTATCCCTTCCGCTTGGAGACAAATAATTTTTCGAGTTTGTATACTTATAATAAGTTTGACGTTCCTGTTTGTTTTTATAAATTGAATATTTTACTTTTTGATCTTTCTGTATCTGTGGAGTACTATGTTGTATTTCTTTTTGTTCAGATGAGAAGTTCCTGAATTTTTACAAATATTTTTTTGGTCAGCTTGTCTAACATGATCTTAACATACCTGTTCTGTAATTAAATTTGTTTTTAAATTTGTTTTTACATTTGGCTGTAAAAAACTTCAAGAATATAAATAACTTTCGCACACTCACCTCACACCCCAAAACCACAAGAAAAATACCTGAAAAAGCATGACAGGGCCCCAAAATTTTTTTTGCGTCGGGCCCCTAAGGTCCTAGGTCCGCCACTGGACTGGACTGTATTAATCAATTCGTTGATTGTTGGATGTAATTCAGCACAAGAATCATACTTGAAGTTGTCTAGTGCTCGACGGCGTTGCCGGTTTTATGAAAATTCACAAAGTTAGTGATGAAGTTTTGAACACTCCTTCCTCATTTACTGGCATCAGGTCAGAAAGGAAATGAAGCCGACACTCATGTTACGGTCCTATTCTGAGACGCTAATGACTTTCAGGGCTACTGGGCGATTGTTAGTATTCTCCGGATAAAATTATGAATTCGCAAACCAAGATTTCTTCATTGCAGGAGAAATATAGTCGACGGAATTTTTTTGTAACCAATTCGTATTTAACAATAGTTATTTATTATACAAGGGAAAAAAGTAGTAGATTTTAGCTCCAGGTTGTGTTGTCTCCCGACGCGTAGCGGAGGGATACAAAAAACCGTGAGCTAAAATCTAATATTTTTCCCGTGTATAATACACTATTTTTTTCTGTGACAGAAGGAAGAACGAATCAATATTGAGAAGATATTTCATTATTTCGAAATCTGAAAATTATCGACGTGAAATTTCAAGTTTTTAACAGTAGGGACACCTGCGTTTTATAGGCATCTTTATTATTCTTTTGAAGTAATCAAATAACTGATGTCACTTCTGTCAGTTCAATTCTGTGATTTGATTTTAAAAAATTGCGAATTCAGTAGTTGTTTAGTAATATACGAAACCGCGAAGTCGAATGGAAGATAAAAGGACTTGCAGTTCTTTCTCGGAGACGGTATTATTGACTCATTTTTCGGAACTATAGCACAACAAAAGCCATTAACAGAGTATATATATGTGATATATATCCGGGAAAAAAGTACTCACTTTTTTCCCACGGGAAAAAAGTAATTTATGAAAAGTGACATTTTATAACCTGCCAACAGAGATGAAATGCCAAACTTTTTTCCCGTCACAGAAAAAAGACGATTAATGATCTCTAACATTGACGCACTCGCTTTGCTCGCATTCATATAATATGTAGAAAAAAACGGAAATGTAATAACAATGTTTTTACAACTCTTCTGAAAGATGTGTTCGACACATTGAAGAAATCTATTTCAGAACTGTGCTTATTAGCTTGGTTTTGCATTTCAACAATCGATTCATTCTGTTCATAATTCGTATGGCGAAAGGAAATATTGAATGAATCATAATTTCGTGTCCTTCTCTCATTCACATTGAATTACAAGCTCTAAGATTTCAGGTGAATTCATATTCCCATTAATAATTTTGTATAAAAATATGAGACTTGCGTTCAACCGTCTGTGTTCTAATGTGTTCTAGTTCAGATTATCCATGATCGTTTTATATTTATATTCTCCTCTTGCATAACCTAACCTATGTGCAAAATATCCCAGAAACTTTTTCTGAATGCCTTCAAACAACTCGCTATCACTACACTGTAGTATTTGCTCCATACAGTAGAGTTATATTCAGTGATGGGCCTTACCAATCAGCAATATTTGTATAATGTATATACATCCTTGTGGCTATTTTAACTCTTTTCAATTTATTCACTTATACGCTCTTCTATATTATGTGCCATAAAAATAGCATTTTTTGTCAGTGTGTGTCAAAGAGCAGAATAAAACTCATTTCATTTGAAAACTCGAGCTTTATATCTGTAGATGTTTCGTCTTTTCAACCACTAGGTTATAAAAAATTATCTTGTTTTTAGATTAGTTGGTGGTAAAAGTGAGTCTCATTCAAATATTGCCGAAGGTCTAGCAACCGCTCTGAATTGTTTTGAAGAACTTCAACAGAAAAGAGATGCTAGTGCTAATGTTCAGAAACATTGCATTCTCATCTGCAATTCACCCCCTTACTCGCTACCGGTTTTAGAATCTCATTTATACTCGGGTAAAACTGCTGAGCAACTCGCTACTATTTTACAAGAGGTACGATTCAATATTGGCGCCTTGTTTTGTTTTGATGTTTGTCAATTTTCAGAAAAATATCAACTTTTCTGTGGTATCGCCAAGAAAAATTCCGACACTCTATAAACTATTTGAGAAAGCTGGAGGTGATTTAACATCATCTCAAACAAAAAACTACGCTAAAGATCCTAGGCACTTGGTATTGTTGAAAGGTTTCAGGTAAATAATAAAAAATACAAAAATAGTAATTTATTGAGATGTAATAGGATTTATGAAAATTCGAATTCAACAATTGACAAATGTGTTTTATGAAATTTCGTCATGTTGCCTTAGATTCAATTCATGCTCTACAAAAGTAATCTACACAAATCCAATTGAATTCAATTTCTCGAACTATCTTCATTTTGATTGCTTGCTATACATTCAATGAGTCTTTCAGTCATTTACAGAGTGACCCATTTGAAAGGTCATAAATCTTATCCATCCGGTGTCCACTTTTTCTAAAAACAGGCCTACTAGCTCACATTCAGAGGCTGAAAAATCCAGAATACATATTAGTGATTATTTTAGAAAAAATGTGCGTAAGCCACTGAAATCCATGTTCTCTGAAAAAATATTCATCATCAACAATTCTATGAAATAACAGACAAGTTATTCATTGTGCATTAAGAAGCTTTCATGTATTTACCCTGTGATAATAAATGAATTGCGACTTTAAACAACGATATTTAATAGAAATTCTTATAAAGGCATTCTTCTGAAATAATATTGAATTAGCACACATGCATTGATTTCAAATTCTGTATGTTTTTTTTTCTTCATTCAATTCCCTTAGAATTAGAATTCTGGATTTTTCAGTCTCTAAATGTGATCTAGTAGGCCTTGGTTATTTAAAGAAGTGAACGCTGTTTTGCTCCAAAATACGCATTTCCCCCACAACATTTCAAAAAAATTTGTCAAAATCGGTTCATAAATATATCGATGGGGGTAGCCCGCTTTCGAATGGGTCACTCCATATATTATTCGTTAAAATATTTTCAGTTCAAAAAATTGATAACAGATATTATTTAGTCTCAAAGAACGACCAATCAGTCCCCCACCCGGTAGTGTCACTGCTAATCCGAACCAGATGGCAAACTCCGTCCTTCCGGTGACATCACTTCCTAGTCCGTTACCGGGAAGTGAGAGCCCCATACCTGGAGGTAGTCAGGCCAACCCCAACATTTTGACCAACTCTTCTGCTGGGGCCAATGCATCGCAGAATAACGTCTATCGTCCACAAGGTGCCCAAGGTATTTTTGTTGTTATAATAAATAAAAATTAGATAAGCAAAAATAGCATATATACAGGGTGAGTCAAAAATATGAACCGAGCTTTCTGGCGGTGATAGTACATTGAAAATTAGGTATAGTTTGATGAATAAACTAATGGCCCAAAATGTATATTACGGGATGAATCAAGAGCCGCCTTTCAATTGAAAATTTGTCACCCATGAAACGAACCGGTACCAACCTACACTTGAACTGAACCAGGATGTTGTAATTGGAAAATAATTTTTATACGACTATTGTCAGTGACATTTTATTGACGGATATGGAAAATTGAAACACTATAGAGTAGGTAGTGAAAATTCTGATGATGAGGCTAATCTTTAAAGTAGTCCTCCTGGTCTGAATATATTCTATACTGTGCTCTGTTTTCGGGATCATGTAGATATTTCCCAGTTATTAATGATGAAGAGAAGGTCGATAATTTAATTGATGCATCTAATAAATAATACTTCCGTTGTTAACAAAACCAAAAATAATCATTTCAAGATACAAACATACATCTGACGCGTCTGACGGACACTTTTTTGCTTTGACATAATAATATACCTAACTATTTTTGAGTTTGTTACCCTATTGTAAAAGCTGGTGCTCGAGGGGAAGGGGGTAGGTAGCATTGATCAGTTCGAGTGCTCCAAGCTCTTTGTAATGAGAATACTGTTCAGTTCAATATCTGCTGGGAGTTACTCCCTGTCATTTCTTGTGTTGTACCTTATAGCCCTGATCTTATTACCGTTGAACATCTCTGGGACCAACTTCAGAGATGTATCCGTCGCCGACTTGCTCTGCATACAACTTCAAGAACTGCGAATCGCACTTCAAGAAGATTTCGATGCTATTCCTCATGAGTTTGTCATATGGGCGCGAGTAAGCCATACTCGATATTGACCCTTTAACCATTCTTTTCAATGCTAGCTCAATGTATTGTACGAAAATTTCACTGCAAGAAGCTACTGTGCTAACGAAACATGTCGTTTTATTGAGAATATTGTGGAAAATGATATTGTTATTGAATTTTTTTATACAGGGTGTCTCCAAAATTGGAGCGATCCTTGAAATGGAATGTTGTACGAGTCATAACACAATAAATCGGAACAAAAAGTTTTTTGAGCAGTCCAAAATTAACAACATGGTTTGAGATGCACTGGTTTGATGCGGCAACGCTGCGGCCGGCTCCTTGAGCATTCGCCTCGGTATTCGCATTCTCACACTGTTGCTAGTTTTCAAAATTTACGGAATAGAGACACTGCATGGATTTATTTCATTTTATAACAGTAACGTTGAAGATTTCTTGATGAGCGCCACCACTATCTATGCAGAGCCTCGCACGAGTCACGCCGCAGTAAAGACTTGCAAGCCCGCTGAAAATTATTTTGTTGTCGCATCTCGAGAATCGCGTTGTCAATTCTTGGTTTTTGATATCCAAAAAGGATGACGCATAAACCAGCAAGTGCAACATATCTGCAATCACCGGTATGGACACAATTAGGAAAACGTTCTGTATAAAGGCGCTTCACTATCAATCAGGAGCATATCAACTAGTTTATCAGTCCCATAAATGTGAAAATTGGCCATATTTTAACACATACACAATTAACACTAAAATGTTAGGTTCAACAACGAAAATCACTTGAAAATAGTAGGTAACAAAATAAAAAAGTTTCAAGACACGCTAACTCATCTCATTTCATAACTGGGAAAAACCCCAAAGTTGAAAAACTGGAGACCGAAGCACCTTTCCGGCGTGTGGCCTAGTAGGAGTAATTTTGCGTGATTCCCCGAACTCCGATTGCTAGATGATGCACACGCATACACTTGAGCATATGATTCGACCTCGCGTAACTGAAAGAGACACAAAAGTAGTCTCATTTTTGTTGTATCTCAAAATGTAGGTAAAATAGTTATTCTTTATACCGACTACCGACGCGTAGCGAAGGGAGATAAAAAACCGCGAGCCTTAATCTAATATTTCTCTTGTGCATAATACACTTTTGTTCTGCAAAAATGTATTCTTTCATTTCGTTTTTATTTTTTGTCTTCGGTCACCCAATTCAAGGATCGCTCCTATTTTAGAAACACCCTGAGTAGATCGCGTTAACTCATCGAGATTTTCTCTGTATAGATGTAGAATTGATACATAGATCTTTTATTTGTGACATTTTATAACTTTTTCCTCATATTTTCATATTTTGAAATGAATTTAGGCGCCTAACTAGGTTTTTAATATTTCAATCAGACTCGATGTTTGATTTCAGAAGTTCTTCGACAACACCCATCCTCCTTACCTACAAATCGAGAACAATTCCTTTTATAAATCACTTTATTCTAGGCATCAACATGCCGCAACAAAAAGTGGTAGGAGTTGTTAATGTTCCCGCGGGACGTATGATGGGCAACAACCAAATGCCAATAATGCAAGTGAACAATCCTCCTGGCTATCTTTCTGCTGCTGGTGAGTTTTTAATAAATAATCCATTTTCAAGTTTCATCTATCCATTATTCAATATCCCATAACGAATCATTTTTAATCATTACAAACCTTTGAACTAATACGGCTCGGCTCGGCTCGGTAGTCGAGAGCGTGAAGGCGCTGAGTTCGTATGGGGGACTCTCACCGAGACATAGGTTCGAATCCTAGTTAGGTCATGGATGTTTGTGTTTGTATGTATACCTAACCCCGCACAAGTTTCGACTTATGGGGCGTTTGGTCCCAGTGCTGGGACCAACTAGGTATGCAATTGCAAAAAAATACGTACCAATGCATTTTCTCTAACAGAGAATGCGACAGAATTGAAAATGAACTGCGAATCCCATGAGGTCTCAAATGAGAACAGAAAATCGAGAATTCACTAACTATACATGACACCATAATAAATAGTTATGTTAATGAACTCAACAACCCAGCAGTGACCAACAGGGAGGAACTAGTAACTCAACTACGTAAAAAATTTGTCAATACCTTCAATGTGGATAGTGTCGCTGTATTCTCAGGAAATAAAGTGTATATACTAATGTTTGACATGGAAGAAACTGACTCCTCACATAATTCGCCAACTGAACCTACTAACAATGCACAATACAAACATGTCCTTACTTAATTTAGTGTACTCAAACATCAATGAATACATCAGTAAGAGAGAGTTGGTACAAAACTATATAGAAAGCAATGATATCAAAATGGCACTTTTTGTGGAGTCCAAAACAAAAAACCACAATAAGATAATATTCAAGAATTGGAATATTATACAAAAAAATGGTCACCTAATTCACAACCATGCCAGAGGGGGTAGTCTAGTCAAAATCGACCCAAACCTGAAAATGAGAAAAGGTAATGCACCAACTATTAATAATCCACTAAACGAATGTATTCACTTTTCAATTCCATTTCTAGACGATAATTTAAATATATTTCTTGTATACATCCACCCACACTCTAGAATAGAGGAAAACATATTCACGAGGAGAAGCCTCTACAAGTATGTAAGTATGATTGGAGATTTTAATGCAACCACCAAGCCAAAGAAAAAACAGATGTGATTTTGCATACATTAAACCTAGGAAAAAATATCAAAAACGTCGAAAATATAACTGAGCTTTGCTCAGACCACCTAGGCTTTAGAATTACCATTGATCCACACATTCCAATTAATTATACCAGAATCGAAAAATATAATTTCTCTAAAACAAACATTCAGAAAGTCAATACAGAAATGTTGAGGTATATTGAATCCAGATATGAACAGGACATGAACAGGAGAATGATATCTAACTTCAACTCTGAATTAACAAAAGTTGTTATTGAAAAAAAAAAGAAATACGATATTTCACCCAAGAGCTACCATCATTCATCATACAATTGATCAAAAGAAAACACAAAAATTTACAGAGAGTGTAAGAATAATGTTAACCCTGTTCTCAAATAATAACTCAATAAATATAATAAGAACATCCAGATGCTGATTCAAGATTACAGAGAACATAAGTGGCTTAAGATATGTGAGGAGATCAACGATAAACAAGGAAAAACCTATTGGCAAGATATGAGGAGAATCTCTAAATATAAAAGTGAGGCACAGAGCAGTAGTCCGCTTGAAGTAAATGGACAAAAATTGGAGAGAGACCTACAGAGAAAGTGAAGATGTTAACTTCGTTAATAATCACTATGAAATGATCATAGAATGGTATAACGAACATTACTCAGACCCACCGGAATCTTCTCTTAACCCAGAGGAGTATGAGATAGATGAAGATGAATACTATAGTATAATACACCAAGGCAAAAATACTGCACCCGGACCCGACTTTATAAAAAAATCACTAATAAAACACCTACATCACGAGATCCATCAATATATCATTCAAATATATCAGTTCTGCTTAAAAAAACAGATATATTCCTAGAGAATGGAAAACCGGTACAATCGTTACAATTCCCGGACCCAACATGGACCATTCAAAACCTACCAGTTATAGGACAATTATATTGCTTCCAGTGCTGGGAAAAAAACATTGAAAAAATTATAAAAAATAGGCTACTGACATCAATAGGACCTCATATCCCAGTTTGGATTCAGAAGTCATTGTTCTACAACTCACCCACTCGCAATACTCACCAACAACATAGAAGCGTCTAAGCTCACTGGCGACAAAGACAAAACGGCAGCAATATTTCTAGACATTAATAAAGCATTCGACAGTGTATGGACGAAAGGCCTCATATTCAAGCTAGACTCCCTCAACTGCCCGAAATATCTAATACACATAATAGACAGTTTACTAAGTGAGAGAAATTTGAGAGTGAAAGTACAAGACAAATTATCACACGAATTCACACCACAACAAGGAGTTCCACAGGGATCACCAGTATCACCCCTACTCTATAACATATACTGTTCAGGTATATACCACATGGACCCACAATATTTCAATATCGGTAACTACCTAACAATCCCATCCACAATCCACCCAATGAACTACTGTATGAAACAACGAGAGTACAGCCTATTGAGGAAAGACTAGTCCACTTATCCTCCAAATTCAGTAAGAAAGCCGAAAACAAGAATTTCATCTCTCCATTCTGTATCAGAAGGAACCATATAAGAACACAATACAAACACCAGACTATTGTACGATGATTCTCCTAGTAGACATTTCCACCACGATAGAGACCAGTTATATGACTTTTTTTTTTAGAGAAGTTATGTCATTTTCTTAACAATAATCTTTATATGGATATATAAAACTTGTACTGTGGCTGAAGGACCTAGGCCTTTTGAGTATTTATACTCAATAAAGTTCATTTTGTTGTTGTTGAACTGCGATGTACCATTGATATCTATTAGGTACAGTGGTGTTGTTGTGCTTTGATTTTTAATCAGTTTAATGTTAGAATTATGATAATAAGTTTCAAAGTTGATCTCCAAATATATATGTCACACCCAATTTAAATTAAGCGCCTTAATATGTATAATACGCGCATGTCACCCCTCTACATACAAATTACCAGATGTCAAGCATATCAAAAATTGTACCGACTCACGACTACTTGTGATACGTTGTGGAATTGAATAAAATCGAAGACTATTCATTTTGATTAAAACTATCAGAAAATAGTTAGTTCAGGAATGATTTACTTTATCGCACCAGTATTTCACATGAACATGCTGCCATGTGTGAAATATGTGTTTTTGATAAATGTGAAATCTCTGAAGTTTTTACCTATTATGGATTTTCATGAAGAAACGGCCGAGGCGATTCAAAATTTATTGCAAACATATATATATATATTTTAATATAGTATGACTTGAGTTGCTTTATCCAAAGTTACATGAGTCCTGTTCATTACACTTGCTTGTCCTTCATCGCACTATATATATAAACAGAGATGGCCATGGAAATAAATCAATTTCAGCAGCTTAAGCAAACACAAACAAATAGGCCTAACAATTGGTATGTCCAAACATATGAAAAAATACAATAAAAAGTGAATTCACGATGCAAGTGTAGTAGAATATTCCATCTACTTCCAATAACAAAAATTGTATGACATGCATAAATCAGTGAACAAAACCCTCAATAATCAGATAGAGTAGCTGCTAAATGTCATTGCACATCATCAGTACCACATAGTCATGTTACAAGATATTCAAAACTTGGAAGGAGCAAATGAGAACAAATGATATACACTGACATATAGCGTATCATAATTTGAAATTTGTGCTATCATTTAGGAAACTGTCTATTTGAGAGCAATAACCAAAATCATCAAGAATGTGACCTGCGGATCCCGGATCGTCCACCATAAATACAAACGGCATTTTCATCAGTAATATGTCATGTCATGTCAGATACTTTCACGGGAAATGTTCCATAGAAATCTCGTCTATCATTATTATCACTAGCAATGCCAAAATAACTATAGGATTTCAGTCAGTAGATCATTTCGTTGTTAACCGCGAAGTATGTCGAACAACTCTTTATCAAAACTTGTTTGTCTACGGGGTGTTAAAAAAAAAACTTGAACTTGTAACGGCATCCGTTTTCAAGAAACGAGGTGTTCGAGTAATATTTTTATACACATTTTTTGCGATTATGTCAATACTACTGGTAAATTTTGTATGAATATGTTCTGGAAGCTGATGCATTTTTTTCCATACCTGACTCATACGAGGGCCTAGTTACACGGTTCATACCGAGTAATTTAAGACATAACTTTTTCAAGATTAGATTTCTCAGACCCAATTTCATGTGAACTTCATTCAACATCATTAATAAAAGAACAAACTCTAAAGTCTCGCTCCAAGTAAATTTTACTCAAATCATATGTGCTACATGTTTCGACTCCTAGGAGTCATCATCAGGCTGAAATACAAAACTTATAAATAAAAGAAGTTCCATCACTATTAGAAAATGGGTGACATACCTTGCTAGGCAGGAGGAGAAAGGAAACTATAAAATTGGTACCTCAGGTACTGAATAGTTTTCGCTAAATTTGTATCGTAAGAGTTCTTGTAAAGCCCGCGAGGACCAGCAACATATCAGTTTGTTTACAATAAGAATTCATTGTAGTCATGATCAATAAACAGTCTGACTAATTAGATTAATTTTCAAAAATGCGCAGGATGCATCATATCAGGAAATATTTATTTGCAAATGAACCTCGAGACATCAAAAATTAACACTATACAAAACATTTCTGAAGGGCATATCTTTCTGGAAAAAAACTGAAAGCTTCCAGTCCGACCTCTGGAAAGTTATCACATGGTTGTTTGAAACACTTGCAGGTCACTGATGATGATCAAAAACATCTCAAAACGTGACTTACAGTCACAGAACATGCCATGCCAAAAATTATGAAAATCGATCTCTTCCTAATAGTAAGAGGGAAATTTGAAGCGACGATCTCAAACGGCCTACAAGAAGCCCTCAATACTGTGTACAGATGGTGCGAGAGGGAGCAGATGTCTGTGAACCCCCGGAAAGCTGTAATCATCGCTTGTAATCATCGCTTTTACCAAAAGGCAAAAGCTAGATAAGCTTCGTCAGCCTGTCCTATATGGAGAGAGCATTCCGTTTGCGGCGGAGGTGAAATATCTAGGGGTCACTCTAGATAAGACTCACCTGGAACGCCCATATGGCAAAAACTATTAACAAAGCCAGACTTCCCCTCTGGAACCTCAGAAGGGTATGCGGCAAATCATGGGGAATGAACCCCAAACAGATTTACTGGATTTACCAAACAATGGTAAAACCAATGATCACGTATGGCTCGGTAGTCTGGTGGACTAAAGGTCTACAGGGAACAGCCAGGGCAAAGCTTGCTGGTCGATGTCCTCTACTCCAGGGCAGCGATGGAAAACCTCCTGAACCTCAATCCCCTCCATATTGTCTTGGAGAGGGAAGCCAGGATGGTTTCCTACAGATTCCTGTCATTGGAAAATCAAATTAGAGGGGGGCGACTGCTGGACCACTCCGGGATACTGTGTGAAACAAAAAATCACCAAAATCTAGGATTGGTTCCCGACATGGAAAAAGTCTTTCAAAGTCCTCTTCTCGAAGAGAGGCGAATGGGCAAGTGGATCGGTCCAATTCCCAGAGACCGAACACGTAATGTACACAGATGGTTCGAAAACCGCTCTTGGAGTTGGAGCCGGTGTGTTCAGCAGAAAACCGAAGACGGAAATTTCCGTCAATCTCGGCAAATATGCTACTATCTTTCAGGCGGAGGTATTCGCAATTGAATTGTGTGCTAGAGAGTTGTCGAATGAACCACTAGTAAACAAAAATATCAGTATTGTATCAGATAGTCAGGCTGCTCTTAAAGCACTGAGCTCCAGCAAGATAAATTCCAAGCTTGTATGGAGCTGTATTGAATCCCTAGAATGCCTGGGTGCTAACAACAGAGTCACTTTGCTGTGGGTGCCTGGGCAGGGTAACGAGAAAGCCGACATCCTCGCCAAACAGGGAACCGAATCTGTATTCATAGGACCAGAACCATATTTTGGGGTCACCGCAAGTGCGGCGAGAACAACTATCTCGGGCTGGGCGGAGGGAAAACTCTCACGTACTGGTCTGAATTACCAGGATTAACACAGGGTAACCTGCGAATTCTGACTGGACTGCTTACGGGACAGTGTCGTTTAAGATACCACCTGGGAAGGATGGGTCTGAACCAACAAACGACTGAACACATATTATGTCCATGCTCTAGCTTAGAAAGACTGAGGTTCTACACATTTGCCTTTACCAATTCGGAACCTATCGATTTCAGACAAATCTCACCCAATTCAACCATGAACTTTGTAAAAAGATGTGGATTGTACGCTGAACTGTAACCTCTAGGGGTGAGCCACAATAGACCCATCTGGGGTCGCAGTGGAGGGGAGGTATTCGCCCCACTCACATGGAACCATCTCAGCCTACACTTTTCATGAGCAAAATTATTTTTTTCCAAAAAAACTTCATCGCCTTGTACCAACTCAACGAGATGATTTTGGATATAGGCAAGTTGGCCTGAATCAATTTGTATTCATCCCAGCCGAGCCATGTCCCAACCTTTTACAGAAACCCTGTATATATATATATAAACCTCGTATTGGTCTTTTCAGATAAACATACTCATTAATATTGATGATTATACCTCTTATACATACGTGCATTACAATTTGGTCCATCCCACCCCTTTCGTATTCCTAGGGTGATTTGGAAATTTTGTTCTCCCATAATGTACTACTCGAAATTATCTACTTTGTCGAGCAAACAAAAATTATCAATCACAATTTCTAGCCTACTCTGCGATCACAAAAATTTCAGCAAAATTAAAGAAAACTGATTAGGCATTTTTTTATAAACATTTTCCCAATCGATTTGGACTAGTCGCAAATACTACTATATCAATTTTCAGAAGAATGTCTCATAATATGTGTTTTTCATTAACATTACAATTTTTGAATAATTGCAGTTTTCAAGCCACCGTGCATAATAATTATTTTAAGAATTTTAATGGTACCAGGCATGATTGTAGTCATCTGGCTACAGAGTGAGATAAGTAATGAATACAATCACTAGCAATTTCTATTTTTTATCAGAAAATGAAAAGAAAAAAAAACTATCAACAAATGGCATCAAAATATTAGACAAAGAACAAAAACAGCAACCATTTCTAAGAAGTTCAGATTTTTGTATTCTCGTTCAAATCTCCTTCATATTCTTTACACTTCTTTACACTCTCTGCAAACTCTTATCATTCTTTGTCCCAACTCTTCTCTATTTCTTGGCATGAATTTGTAGACCTCGGAGGATAGTTGAAAATAACGTGCGTAATTTTAATCTGTTTGGTTTAAATGCTGTTTTGTTATTTGTCTAATCTTCTGATGTTATTTTCTGTAGCCAGATGATCTAATCCTGACTATCATCATTCCTGAATTCTAAGAATTATTATACACGGTTACTTGAAAAATGCAATAATTCAAAAATTGTAACGTTGACAAAAAATACCCCTTATGAGATATTGTTTTGAAAATTGATATAGGGGTATTTGTGACTAGTACAAATCGATAGCCATTATACATTTTTTTCGAAAGACATTTGTAATCCGTTTTCTTTCATTTTGCTGAAGTTTTTGTGATCGCAGTAGGCTAAGAAATTGTGATTGATAATGTTTGTTTTCTCGACAAAGTAAATAATTTTGAGTAGTATATTATGAGAAAATTAAAATCAAAATCGCCCAAGGAATACAAAAGAACAGAGGTGGGGTGGACCAAATTGTATTCATACTGGATGAGTCATAACTATTGGGACAAAGGATAAGGGCGAATAGTCTGAAAATATGGCGAAAGGAAAAAATAAGCCTCAATAAAATATTGCGGTGGAAAAAGTTGATTTTTTTACTCGTTTTTTGCTAATAATTTCCCTGTGTATTTATCAATTGTTATGAAAATCGGCACAAAGGCATATTTCTATACGAGGATAATTATTTTAGGTATCATTTTACAGTTTGTTACCGGGGGCGCCACGTGAAAGATTCCTGATGATGAAATCGACTGGTAACTTGTTTGACGAAACTCTTAAGTTATTTTGATTAAAAAATAACTATGTAATAAACATCCATATTCGAGAAAAACGCAATTGAACAGTTCTAAGTCCCGGAAAGGGATTTCAAATAAATATTTATTACGTTATGAAGAGTGTGCATTGGACTGTCAGATAATTGTTGCTGGTAAATGAAATTTCTTGTCAGTGCATAAATTTTGGTGCGAGTTTATAGTCAATACTTTTTCTATTGAATGCCCTGTATCTTTTTCCACAGCTATATTTTATAAGGGCATATTTGGTCCGAAGTTTTATAATTCCTTCGTCAAAATTAGGAAATTCAAGATGGCGGATCCTATATGGCGTACGAGTTTTGTAGCAGTGATTCGATTCTATTCAAAATTGGTATATGGGGGTTTCGGGGTCGGAGATTACGGTTCCTTTGTCAAAATTAGGAAAAACAAGATGGCGGACGAGTTTTGTAATTTTGATCCGATTCTATCCAAAATTTGTATCTGGAGGTATTCGGGGTCAGAGATTATGATCCTTCCGTCAAAATCTGGAAATTGGAGATGGCGGATCTAGTATAGCGAACGAGTTTTTTAATTAGGGTCCGATTCTATTCCTAATTGGTACCTGGGGCTTTTCGAGGTCGAAGATTGAGATTTTCTCGTCAAAATTGGGAAATTCAAGGTGACGGATCCAATATGGCGAACGAGCTTGGTGATAATTAGTAGTTTGAAAACTAATGTATGTTTAAGGTCAGCCAGTAGTTTATAAAACGATAAACTGTTGTTGCTCTAATTTGAGGTTTGAAAAACTATAATATGGCATACACTTATTCATTAACTAAAAGATTATTCAAGTGACTTTTGTGAAACTAGTTGCATAATGAACTACCGATCAAGTTTATGATGGTGAATGTAACTATTTGTAGGACAAATGAATCGTACATCTCCCCATTGGTCTATGCATCCACCTGTTCAGCAACCAAGACCTTATATGCAACAGCCAAATCAACAGGTTAACACCACACAGGGTAGTGCTCTTATAGCTCAACTTACTCAACCTCCTTCTTCATTGCCGGGAACTGCAGTAACCCAGTTTGGACAAAGTGAGTATTTCATTTTATTAAGTTATTAATTGTTTGTAAAGATACTCGAGTTTGGAATTCAATTCGATTCAATTTTCTTTATTTCCAATCAGACTCATACATACATAAGTATAGGATATTGTAAGATCAATTTTGAATAATCTGTTGAAAATCGAGCATTACAGTATACACATATATTATAATATCTAATAATGTATAAAAAACAGTGTATATAGAAACAGAAATAAAACAGTGAATATAGAAGTATATAAAAGACAGTATATAGAAGTGTACACGTGAAGGTTACAACACAAATATTCTGGAACCGAATAAAAAACCTCTTCAACTAGAAGTTCATGAACTTCATATTTGAATCACATTTGATAATATTTTAAGCCTAGTGGGTAAGTTGTTGTAATTTGATCGGCAAAACCAACGGACTGTTAGCCACAGTTGACAAACGATGGGATGGTATATTGGTATCGAAGTTTTGCCCTCAGTTGTGTTCAATACTTCCACTAGACTGGTTGAGAATAGCTGGGTTATCTTTTACATATAATCTGTTTTTATAAATGAAGAGAGAGGGGAACGTTGAAAGCTCAAGTTGTTTGAACAACTGGCGACAGAAAAACGTCCTGTTTTTTTGTTGAATAAAAACTTCATTAGACCTTGAACTGTTGCCCCAGGCTAGAATCCCATTTCAAGGTTGAATAAGCGTATGAATAATAGTACAATTTCAAGAGATTGTGATCTATTCTTGATCGAAGTTGCCAGATTACAAAACAATGTCTCGCTAATATTTTTAGAACGTTATCGATTTGATACGTCCAAGAAAGTTTAGAGTCTATTTAGACTACTGAGTATTTTACTACTTGCTTTTGTTCGATAGATTCATCATGTAATTTCATCACTTAACTTTTATTTAAATCCTTCAAGGAGAACATGATTAATTCAGTCTTGCATTGATTCAATGTAAGGTTGTTCTTTTGACAATAATGATTGATCAAGAAAGAAAACCCGAAGTCATCTCCACAAGTTTAATGTTGAAAAGATGCAATCAATCCTGCTTCAATAAGGTTTGAGACATGTTTCGGCCATTCAAATGGCGATCTTCAGTAAAATTAGTACATCAAAGTGTATCTACAATAGAGAACCCAAGCATGATTTTATATCATGAAGAAATTGAAAAAGAAAATTCACAAAGTTGTAAATGCAACATTGAATTAGTTAACGATTTCAGTAGTATAAAAGAACAATGGTAATTATTATAAAGTATAACAATATTAATTGATTAGTAATTGATGAGTGATAATTGAAAAAGTGAAAAACCAAATTTTTATTAAAGCACAAATTCTGATAACAAAATGGCGAACCAAAGGTATGAAGGTTGTACTCACGTGGAAAATTTTTAAACATCGTGAAGGCGAAAAAACTTTATCCTAATACATAATTAGTTAATTTGGAAAATGGTATTTAAATTGGGTAATTTTGAAAAGGAGGCAAAAAGCCAATCCCTCAAAGAGAACATCAAGTTCGTCATAGGTAGCCGAAGAAGATCTGTGTGTCTTGACCTTTATAGAAACAATGGAAACCAAAGCGCTGTCAATGTAGAAAAATTAGAACCTTTTTTTTGTTTAATTGACTCGGCCGTTACTTGATGGAAATCCATGACAAATGTAAAAACTTCCCAAACTTCTCGTCGTTTGTGAAGTTTTTACATTTAAATTAGAACCTGTTGAAGAACCAAAGAAAGACAGAAAACTGTAATGTGATTACTCCAAGAAACCTGTAATGGCAAGTACCAAGCTTAAGGTAAGTGAGTTGTGCGACAAAACTTTCCATTGTTTCTATAATGATCAAGACACGCAGATCTGCTTCGGCTACCTATGACGAAGTTAATGTTCTCTTTGAGGGATTGGCTTTTTGCCTCCCTTTCTTCCGGTCCGCCATTTTGTCAGAATGCCATCAGAATTTGTGCTTTAATAAAAATTTGGCTTTTTCACATTTTCAATTTTCACTCATCAATTACTAATCAATTAATATTGTTATACTTTATAATCACCATTCATCATCATCATCATTTATTAATTCTCATAAGACATTATACAATGTATTGGTAAAGTCATCAGTTTCAATCTTCTCCTGAAGATGTTACATAGTTAGCGAAACACGTGTCGAGGCGTTAAAAAATCGGTTTGGTTAGTGGTAAAACAGTGTAGTGTAAAGTCATCATCATTGAATAATATATACAAAAGTTTGAAAAAGAAGAAGAATAACAGAGGAAGAAATGTATACATTAAGATACCTACTGAGATTTAACACAGTGATGTTGAATTGGATCATTTAAAAATAAATAGTAACGATTACAATAATAATAACAATAAACAAGGAGCCATAACAAGCTTATTCAACTCCTGGTATTCGAAAAGAATTAATTCGAGTTGTAGACACATTTTTTTAACAAAAATGTTTCAACTCCCTTTTGAAAACAGTTAATGTTGAAATGAATTTCAAATAATCTGGTAGTTTGTTGAACACTTTCAAACCCATATGATCAGATGAGCTTAAAGAAATTTCACTTCTAGAAATAGGGACATGAAAATGCCCCTTTTGCCTTTTGCAGTAATTATGAAAATGTTCATTGAGTGAAAATGTTTGGATATTTTTGAACAAAAAGGCTCAATTCATATATGTATAAACATGTTGAAGGTAAAATATTATATTTGATGAAAAGTTCCCTACACGAAACACTACTCGTGACCTGCGCGATGCATCTGATGATACTTTTTTGCGCAATGAAAACATCCGATACAGCAGTACCATTACCCCATAGACAAATACCATACCGCAATAGCGAATCTACTTGTGCATAATACACATTTATGAGTTGATTCATTTCTAGTACATCTCTCAAATCGATGAAGAGAAATTTCAACGAAGATACCTTTGATGTCAATTTTTTACAGTGATCTTTCCAATTGAGATTTTCATCTATATTAATACCTAAAAACCTAATTAAGCTATGAGTATTGCGCATCGGATTACGGTCGCATTGGATTACGGTTCACAGTGAAGATCAAATAATCAACATTTTTTCTGGATTTGATATATTCTGGTAATTTCCGTTTTCTGTATTGAAAAATAAATTGCCATCGTTGAAATAATCTGAGACTTTGGTGCCGAAACTACGAATGAAAAATCATCTGCATACGCAGTGCAATGAGTATCTCCAATAAAATCATCAAGTTGATAAACATTGATTGTTTTTGTATACTACTGAAATTGTTAACTAATTCAATGTTGCAGTAACAACTTTGTGAATTTTCTTTTTCAATTTCTTCATGATATAAAATCATGCTTGGGTTTTCTATTGTAGATACACTTTGATGTACTAATTTGACTGGAGATGGCCGTTTGAATGGCCGAAACATGTCTCAAACCTTATTGAAGCAGGATTGACTGCATCTTTTCAACATTAAACTTGTGGAGAGTTTTCGAGTTTCCTTTTTTGATCATTCCAGTCCAGTTGGCGTATGGACTACTACAGAAAATAATTATTGATATAATTTGCGGCCTCAGTGCATGTGTTGTTCAGATTAACTAGTGATTCATCAGAGCAGGCAACAGAACATTATTACACAGTATACTTACCTCGGATCTCTCTGTCACACACTTCCACGCGCGTTGAAATTAAAATCTTTAAAATTCGCAAACCCCTAATAGGACCGGAATTTTCGCAGACAACCCTATATCAACGTGTTCGCAATTAAACAGCGCTTATGATGATATAAATTTTTTTAAATTATCCAATCCAGTGAAAGTAACTGGCATCGATATACTTGTGTTTACCTGACAACCCAGTAGTTCGCCCAGGTAAATAGTAGACAACCCAACGGCTGCACATTCTATACGTTTTATACTTTCAGTCAGGACAAAATTTTTTGATTATCCTGATGTTGCAACATTTAATTAAAAATCATTTTTCGAAAAATAATTAAAAATAGTCTGCCCAGGATTTTTTTAGCGAACCCATTTTTAATATGTTTTCTAATATACTAAATTCATGATAAAATATATTTCGTTCTATTATCAGCTCGGTGAAGGTCGATTTAGGTTCGGATCTTCTACTATACGAAATATCGTTAAGCTGTAAGGCATTTCCTCGAAAATTGAAAGGCACTGAAAAATGTATTATTGTCAAGAAATGTCACCAGTCTCTGGTAGAATCCTTTTTCCAAAACTTTGGAGAATACTGATAACATTGCCACCCCCTATAATAAGGAATATTGTGAACGTCCCCTTTTCCAATTATTATTAAAAGCTTTTATTTAACTTGCAATGTATGGATGTAGGTTAGTTTGGGTGAAATCTTTGATCTCAATTTTGAAGTAGATATCATCAACCGATTGAGCTGAAACTTTGTATACACGTTTAGTTTGGATGACAATGCATGATAAGGTGTGTGAAGTTTCTAAATCCAATATGGCGAACCATCCAAGATGGCGGAATAGTTATTTTTAATGCACGTCTACAATATGAGTATCAAATTGAAGTGCTCATTGAGAGTTACTCGAAAAATAATGTGACGTCATTCTGAATCCAATATGGCGGACCATCCAAGATGGTGAAATAGTTATTTTTGCTGCACTTCCACAATATGGGTATCAAATGAAAGGACTTGTTGAGAGTAACTCAAAAAATAATGTGACGTGATTCTGAATCCAACATGGCGGACCATGGCGAAATAGTTATTTTCAATGCACTTCCACAATATGGGTATCAAATGAGAGGACTTGTTGAGAGTAACACGAAAAATAATGTGACGTCATTTTGAATCCAATATGGCGGATTATTCGGGACGGCGTAATAGTTATTTTCAATGCACTTCCACAATATGGGTATCAAATGAAAGGGCTTGTTGAGAGTAACTCGAGAAATAGTGTGATGTCATTCTAAATCCAATATGGTGGACTATCCAAGCTGGTGGAATAGTTATTTTTGATTCACTTCTACAATATGGG